TCCACGCCATCCCCAGAATCGAGCCACTGCATCTCCCTATCCAACACCCTCTCTGTCACGTTCTCATGCATGCTCTTCTCTTCACTTGCCAACAACTTATGCAGCTCGTAACCGATCCCATGTTTCTGCCTTGTAAGGCCCACCTTCTTTGTTGGCTGCTTCATCCACGGGAGTGGGTCCACGAACTGATGGAACATTTCAAAGAGCCCGAAATTTATGTGGTTAAATAGGAGCTTCCTTTCAGACCTCGATGACGTTATCTCATTGGAATACTTCTCCTCGACGTTGTCAAATAAACAAGGGTCCAGAGGGCAATCGAGAGAGTTCCATGTTGACACAAAAGTGTCGGGGTTAGCATCATCATATCCAGAGTCGATTAGCACATTAGCTAGATAGACAGATTCCCAACTCTCATCATTAAATACTTCATTGTCCTCGAAGACCGAGACAAATCCTTGGCCAGCATCTTTATCACTTGGTGTAAGCATTAGTCCATCTGCATTTGCTCTAGACTCTATCTTGAGTAGCTTAAGCTGCATTGGAAGCCTTACCAGTAACAAAGAACATAAAGAGAAATTAAAACAGAGTAGTTAAACTATAGTTTATCATACAATGACTGATGTACTATATGGAATTTATCGTACAATGACCGATGTAGTATATGGAATGGACTTGATCTATGCTTATTAAATGCCAAAAAAAGGTGAGATCAAAAATTGACTTAGCTTACGAAGATTCATGTACCCTAATCCAAGATAAATGGTATAAAGCTGGTGAATCATACCATTCTGGGCTAGATTCTAAGTTGCTTACACTATACTACTCATTAAAAGTCAGAAGGGTATCAATTCATTAACTGTATAAGATAAATGTTAACCTATTACACCTATAGCATGTGTATAACTGTATGATGTCCCAATATTGCAATGAGTTTTTTGTTGTCATATGTTAACATCACGACTTTTGTATATGGGCCTAGCCAACACAACCGACAGAACAAATTAGATGCAATGACCACAATTCCAACAGTTTCAACGCACTAGTAAATGAATAAAAAGTTTTTGTTTGGGTTACCGTGAAGATCAGCATTGACTTTCTCAAAGCATTCTGAACCAGGTGATAGTATGTTTACATCTTCCACAAATGGGGCTTCCAAAACTGAAACCCAACTCGAATGATCAACCTGTAACGCCCCAAAAATATTCCAACATGATCTACCCACATCAATTAACATTCACTAGACCATAGCAATTTTACCAATAAATCATTTAGTCACAGTTATTATTGATGTCAACAGTATATTTCAATTAATAAATCAACCAATTTTATTATTATTTGGTAGAGCATTTAGAAATTTTATTTTTTACGATGATTATTTCTTACTCATTAAGTTTTTAAAATTTATTTAATTATTTCCCTTTCAAAAATCAATATGACCAATTTTTAAAATTCATATATTTTTATTCTAAAATAGTGAAATATTAGAACTATGTCATTTTTTTTTTATAACAAAGCATAATTTTAATTATTAATTGTTAATGCAACAATTTTTATTTATCTATACTATATGTTATAGTAAAGGAATATTTGAAACAAAACACTTAAACTTATATAATTTTTTTTTTTTACAAGAGACAAAATATAAAAAATTTAAATATAATTATCGTATTTTTAATAAATTATATATTATTTTATCCCGTGCATAGCACGGGTGATATGCTAGTTCCATCACAACGCAATTCATGTTATCTCTATATGTAAATAATTTATTTTGTAAAATTTATCGAACAAATCATTCGTGTAAACAATTAAATTAATAGAGTATTGGTAGATGATAAAATCATATTATTATTAAATAATTTAAGTAAAAGTGTTGTAGCCTCTTTGAAGTTGAGAGTCTCACCCCAATTTTTTCAATTTTTTTGAGTTTTATAACACTTAAAATACACATGTCATTCTATGGTTAGCTCAAAATATAATTTATATAAATTAAGGTAATTTTTAAATCCCCTAAATCATTACCAAAATTTATAAGTATTGCTTCCTTAAATTTTGAGATTATTATTCCTAGAATTACCTTATTCTAATTGGAATCATAATCTACATGATTGTACATACCAAATTTCAAAGACTTCTATAATTATATTTAAAAAGTTTAGGAAATATAACAATGGGAAGAGAGCGGCATATTAGGTCCTCAATTTTCTTTTTCTTTTTTCTTCTTTAAAACACAATCACAACATAATTCTTTAAGTATATGGGAAAAAAATAGAAATACAAAAATAATTATTCAGAGATTTTAGCTTGCAAAACAAGCGAATTGTGCAAATTAAATTATGAATATGATCCGCATATTTTAAATGACGCATGGATATTCATATTCTATATTTAATATGAGTTGTTATTGGGTTATTTTAGCCAATTTCTTTGTACATATCCTTTTTATTTTAATAAAGTTTTTTTATATTTATTTTTGTATAAATGAAAAAAATGCAAAATATAAAAATATTATTTTTATAGCCGGCGAAATCTAGCTCTAGTACAACAAGAGCACCAAGCTCCCTCCTAAAGACAAAACAAAAGTGATGATAATCTTGGGTTTGACATCCTTCTTATAATGACGTAAGGGAATCCTAAGGAATTTTTACTATCAATATAAGAGAATTTACTTAGAATTTTTACTGATCATGTGGCTATTTGAAAATCAAAGTATGTATGTGTATATTTTTTTTCTTAGTTTAAGTATTTTTTTAAGGGAAGACCAATTGATGGAGTACATTTCTTTAGATTGGAAAAAAATTATAAAATGGAAGAGACGTGGAATTTTTGTAACTTTATGTCTACATAAATTTGGAAATAGTAGAAGGAGTAATTGATTAAGAGCACAAAATTTAAAATTAAGAGTCAAAATTGATTAAATTAAAAGTGTAGAGAGCAAAATGATATAACAGATAAAATGTAGGGACTACTAATATAATTTGTTTCTGTTTTGTTAATTTCTTACTCATAATTTAACTTATTTTTAATTTTTTTCCCCTGTTGTTTAGTGGCCTGTTATATTCGGCAACTATTGCAAAAAACTTTGAACATATGAAATAAATGTAATGATATTTCATCATCAAACAATTTTTATTATTACTTTTGGTTTAAATGGATGAAAAATTAGTGTATATTTAGTTGCATTATTATTTGGATTGATTTGCATTTAATTTTGAAATAATTTAATTTGTTTAACCGATTTACAATTTATCCTTACATTATCAATGTTTCACATAATTTTTAATCTTTTGTGTTTATTATGTACTATACAGTGATTTTTATTGTATTTTATTAAGATAAAATGAATATGTCAAAACTATATATACATTAGCCATGCAGATCACGGGCTTAACACTAGTTAATAAATAAAGTAAAAGATAAATTACAAACATATCCCTGAGATTTACTTAAGTTATAAATTACTTCCTATAGTTCTACAAATTACATTATGGCCTCTAAGGTTTCTAATTTCATAACAACTAGGTCCTTTTATTAATAAATCATTAAGTTAATTAACAGTTTTTAAGAATGTTAAAATTTTATTTCAATTAATAATTCAGCTAATTTTATTATTGTATAGATTAACAGTTAGAAATTTCACTTTTTCAATTAATTTTGTTAAATAAAAAATTCTAACAGCGAGGTATTTGTAATTTTCCAAACTACAAGGGGCAATTCGTATTTTAAGCAAACCTCAAGAGGTGTATTTGTAATTTATCCTAAAGTAAACAACAAAAAATATTTTGAAAGGATATAGCCTGCACGGTGAAATTTGTCTATGGTGAGTTTATTTTGATAATTCGAATCGTTCATCTTGTAAGACCCTTCAAGTAAATCATCTATACCAAAAATCACGTTAATTGGATATCAATATCCACACGATCGAATCACATTTTAAAAAAATAAATAAATAAACTGTCAATTCCAGAAATGATGCATGCCATACATTTTTTCGAATTTTTTTTTGTTCCAATCATGTGGCAAATAATATTCGATTAACTTAATTTTTTGTATAAATTATCTACTCAACAGGCCTTGTAAGATAAATAATTCAAATAATTAAGATTGATCCACAATAGGCAAACTACAAGATACATTGTAGAGGAAATATCATTTTGCTCTCTAACTATCACGTGTTTTTCAATTTGACTCCCATATTTCGATTTATTTCAATTTAGTACATGAACTTTCAACAAATTGATCAATTTAACCCCTGTCATCATATTCCGTCTACAATTAGACGGAATGTGCTGACGTGACACCAAAGTTCATTTGGAATTTCATCTTACCCCCCAAACTATACCTTAAAAATCAATTTGCTCCCCAAATATAAACAAATTAAATTTAAATATTTAATAAATAATTTTTTTATCTCAATAATAAAAAAAATTAAATCTTAAATAATATATACTTTGCAAAAAAATAATTAAAAAAATAAAAATTCTCATTTTGAAATATTTTGAGACTATAAAGCATAGATTATTTGACAAACATGTTGTATCTGTACTGGATACTTACAAATAGAATTTAATTATATGATTAGCCATGTTTTTTTTATATTGTAAATGTAAAAAAAAAAAAAAAAAAAAAAAGATACTCTAAGGTGTCATCACTGCATCGGTGGACTCAAGTCCCATGGTAACTAGTTGCCAGCTTGATTTAACCCAACTTAAAAGAAGGGACTCACCACCTAACTCCAGGGAAATTCAACCATATGTCGCAAACAAGCTTAAAATTCGATTGAAAGATTTCTGCATAGCGTCACTAGAATTACCCAGCATTAGCCATGTCCTCTAGATTAATTTTAACATGAATAATTGGCTTCAAATCTTAAAAGTTAGTTGGAGTGGACCCCATGAAAAGGCCGTGTTGAACCCTAATGGACTTGTGATACAGTGTTGAGTTTTGAAAGAGAATAGTTGAGTTCATTAGTATAATACCAAAAAATTACGGTGAACATCATCAATGGAGGAATTTTTGTGTTAGTGAAGACGCATTTTGTGAGGTGGAAGTGATTGGCTTTTATCATGGTTTGGGATCTAATTAATTACTTTTTTTATATTGATAAATTAAATTATTTCTTTTAAGATTTTAAAAATAAAGAAAAATTTACTCACAAATCTCATACGGGAGAATGTTGACCCATTTAACTCTAAGAGTTTTCTTATGAACCAATTAGTTATTTTTGTTTTAAAAAATTGTATTCATTTGATTTGATACCATTTGAGTTTAAGTAAATGCCTTTTTATGATTTATTTTTCTAATTTTCCGATTCATTTTTGGAATGAGAATGGAAATGTGAGGTGTAAAAGATTCTTTTTAAAGGAATTGGTGGCTGAAGTGTTGGTGTTGAACATGGAAATCTACATTTCTGGTAGTGTGGTTTTTCGGTGTTACATTGGAGTGTTATATTAGAGTGTTACATTTGAAAAAATACAATAAGGCGTTTTTATGTGTTACATTGATTAGAGTGTTACAATTGGTAAAAAAAATACACTAAAGAGGTTTTAAATTATGTATATGTGTGTGTGTGTGTGTTTATTATAATGCGGTTTGATATATAGATGTTTCATTTTAAAACAAAATAGGTATAATTCATAAATTTAAATTTATTTATAAAAATGACATTATCGTATTATTTTTGTGAAAAATTTTGCATGAAAAGAGTATCTTTATATAAAAAGCTATCCACATGATACTCGTAACTAATAATGTAACAAAAAATTTTACGAATGAAATAATGTTAGTTCACATTTGTTAAGTAGTTAGAACATTTCCAATGGTTCATCTATTTGAATAAAAGTTCAATTTGATATCAAGTGCTCCAACGGAGATTTTTAAGACTTCATCGAAACACCGATTGACGTGGCGAACGATTGGGCAGATGTCTAGCTGATCGACCGGCCAGTTTAATTTTTTCACAAATTTTTATCTTGAGGTGGTCATCTGAGGGGATATTCAGTGGTTAAAATCTAACAGATATGAACAGTGATTTGATGAAAGTCACATCTACCTTCAATTTAATGAAAGATTTGAGAAATCCTGAATTTTATGAAAATTTTGGTATAGGGTTGGAACAACAAAAAATGAGTTTTTTCTTCAAATTTAAATTTGATGAACCATTGAAAATGGTCTTAAAGACAAGATTTGAACCAACTTAACATATTTTTGTAATTCTTGACTACTTGCCTCCTTAAAGTTTTACCCATTTCTCATTTTGACCATTTAAGTTTGATTTTGTTTTCACTTTAACCCTTTATGTTTACAATCCTTCTCACTTTGGTCCTTCATATTTGCAATCTTTCTCACTTTGGCCCTTTAAGTTCGATTTTTCTCACTTTAACCCTTCATATTTTTAATCATTCCCACTTTAGCCCTTCATATTTGTAATCCTTCCCATTTTACTCCTAGACTACCTTTCATCAAAAAAAGTAACAGAATTTATCACATCAGCTCCGTATATGATGTAAAAAATTCACTAAAGATGCAAAAAATAAAAAATAAAAAAATTGAATTTTTTTTTTAATCTTTCGTGAACTTTTTTTTCCAAATTTATTCATAAACATTATTACATTATAAATGAGTTTAGATTAGATACAACTAAAAAAATAAAAACAAATTTAACTTCTTAAAAAAAATCTCTAAAGACGAAAAAAAAGTGATAATAAATTTCATTTCAGAACTGACAATGCAGGGATATGAGTCAGTAAACTTTTTTTTTTTTTTTAGTTAAATTTGTTTTAATTTTTTTAACTGCATCTACTCTTGATACATCTATAATGTAATAATGTTTATGAATAAATTTAGTTAAATTCATTTTAATTTTTTTAACTGAATCTAATCTAAATGCCTCTATAATGTAATAATGTTTATGAATAAATTTAAAAAATAAAGTTCACTAAAGATTAAAAAAAAATTCCAATTTTTTTTTTTGTTTTTTTATTTTTTATTTTTTACATCTTTAGTGAATTTTTTACATCACACATGAAGTTGATGCATTAGTGATGTGGCAGATTCTGTTAGTTTTTTTGGATGGAAGTTAGTATAGGAATAAAGTGAAAAGGATTGCAAATATAAAAAGCCAAAGTGAAAAAAATTAAACTTAAAAGGTCAAAGTGAGAAATATTACAAACATGAAGAGCCAATGTGAGAAAAATTAAACTTAAAAGGCCAAAGTTAAAAATGGGTGAAACTTTAAGAGGGCAAAATGTAATCTACCCTTTTATTTATGCAGTTGTTCGTGCAAGCAAAAACAATCTCTTTCATAAATCAATAAAAATCTAAAAGAGGTAATCTAGGTTCCAATTTAGGCAGGCCTAGCACACAAAAGATGTCTATATTCCACAAAATAGTACTTGCACTAATTGCCAACTTTCTCATAGACTCTATTCTCAAATAGAAAAGAACAATAATGATAATTACATTCAAATTAGCCTTTCAATACTTTTCTTTTGAAGAAACATTAACAGGTGAACATATTTTCTTATTTTAATAGATTTCACAGGCAAATACAACTTTCTGAGGCAATCAATGTGTAAGACGTGAATAATACATGTTTTGGCAATAAAAAAAGAAGCAAATGATGATCTCGACCATAAGAATGAGGAATAGAAACCCGCCAACAGAGATGCAAACTGCAACAAGCATAACCACTAACATAGCATGCAAAGAAATGTAAGGGCTCACAAAAAACACAACTGCGATCGAAACACACTGCCAAACCTTGAGTTGTGCAAATGCTCCTTCCTGTACACCCCAAAAGTAACATTTGAGAATTAAATGCAAGTGCATTTGCACAAAGAAACGACCAAGAAAAAGTGAGGGCCAAATATCTTTAATATACTTGAATGAGAAATAAATTAGACATAAGTATGAAAATCATTAAGATAACTAACATTATAAAGGAGAGTACAACACACAAAAGTCAATTTTCTCCTATTTGTTTAATTGTTCAATTAGGAGAACACTTGTGGAACCCATATCTTTAACTTTCCTAAAGGAATAAGTTTTCCTAATTTCCTTCAATATATGGAATTTATGTCTCAAGAATCTCAATATACCTTGTCTTCAACCATAAAACATACGTTTTCACAATTACATCCACTGATTTATTTATTTTTTTTATAAATAAAAAAATACATAGTTTCATCCCACCTGCATCTCAATTAGATCGCCCAAGCACGAACACCTCTAAGAAGATAATGTGTCGGATACACGTCCAAATGTGTCATTAATTTTATTATTATTTTATATTTTTTAGATCTAGACACGCTTTGGACACGCGTCCATCACTTATTCATACACTCAACTCAAGGCATGCAATTCTCGTGTCAACACTTACGTGAAAAAGAGTATAAATCAAACTAAAAAAGGCTAAGTAAAACAAACAAAATAAATCACTATCATATCATGCTTAAAGAGCATCCCAAGCAAAGCATTAAGCTGTGTGTTGAATATTCCATCCCCAATTCCCAATGCGGCTGCCATGATAAGGGGGTATAAAATGCCGAGTACTCCACTAGTTACGCTGCACAATGGCACAGTTAACAAGAACTGATAAAGTCATAGCAGTTTCAAATCAGATATATATAATTAAAAACTTTAGATTCTAAATAACTTTAATTGGAATCAACAAGAAACCTAACCTGTACTTCAGTAGAAGCCAAAGCAGTACAATTAACTGAATGAAAGCTCCAGCACAAACTATTAGAGTGATTGACTTGAGACCAGAGGTGAGTCGACCCATAGCCAGCAAACACTGACACATATTCCAGATATAAACTGAGTCTGAAAAACTTAATGAATCAAACAAATGACAAATTATAAAACAAAGATGGTTTTCCTGGGTTTTTAACGTTTAGCGAACTTGAGGTGTAATAGTATTTACATCCTATGCCACATTATTATTGAATAATTTCCTATAAAACATATGAGGCTAGAGATCATAGCAGAGATTGTGAGTAATAACTTGAATGCACATACCGTGGGAAAAATAAGATTATGCAACAAAACACAAGATATGATTATCCATCCATATTATCCATGTGAAGTACCACCAGGGCAATAAATGAAATTTTGTATATTGTTGCAAACACACAACACAACTCATAGAGAATAAATCTGGAAAAGGATATTTATTATTTGTTATTCTTGTTGCTTACAAAAGGAAAGGGTAAATGAAATTTAAAGTTGTTCACTCAATTCATTTTTATTTCTCCAACTCAACAAGAAAGAGACGAAGTGAGCTAATTCATGTACGTAAAACATGAATTAATGTACGTAAAACGGAAACCGACTCACCAAGTGAGCTAATTCATGTAAACCATTCCATAAAGCTACTCATTTCTGCAGTGCCATACTTACAATTGCATCAAAAGCCCAATACACTGCCATAGCACCACCTACACCAGACTCACCAAGTGCAGGTTCCGCAATGTACTTGGTGTATTCAGCCCTAAAATTGTAAATGTGTTCCACGCTTAATTGAAGAAAATATTACAATGTATATAGTGCACAAATTGAATGGTCAAAGGACAATAAAAAGGTAAAATGTCATAAGTTAATCAACAATTACCATACAAATGCTTGTTTTAAGCCTGAATATGCAATAAGGGGGATGATTAATAGCATTCGTAAGTCAAACAATGGAAGAGTAGAAACTGACAGAAGAATCTGGTAAAGTCTCCTCTCCTTTAGCATCCCTCTTTTGTAAGAAGCACATGAGTATGGTACCTAAGGTCATACTACAAACGAACACAATATATAGTAAAGTTGTGCCACTGCCACTGGTAGTTACCCCCTGCAGTGATGTGAAAGAAAGAAAAACAAATTAAAGATGCGAGTGTTTTAAAAGAATTAAAAAATCATAGATTCTGACACTGAGGTAGAATCTACAATGCTTCAAATTTTCCACAACCAAATGAAAGATAGTGGTATATTGCTGTCAAGGATGACACTACATAGGATTAAAGGTGTGCCATTGAATATCCTTATTTATTTTTTTTAATACAAGTAATTTATGTATATTTTAATATTTTATTTGCTATCTTAAAATATATATATATATATATATATATATTGAACAACCCAAGAAACACATACACTTCTTGACACTACTAAGAAGGTGCATATCCGTGTTCAATGCATGTCCGGCACTAGCACTCATCAGACACTTTTTGACATGTGTTGGATACTGTATCAACTTTTTTTTTAGACCTTGATACCTTTCAGATACTTGGGTAGAGGTGTGAAGGATGCGCAGAATGGAATGGTCAAGTTTGTCAACTTGACAAAATTTTCTAACAGAAGGAATGCCAAAAATGGGAGTCAACCATGTTGAAAACTCTATAGCTCTAATTGTCGACATGGCTATACAATTGTTTCCCACGATTAGACAACTACTCCAATGGGCTATGCCACTCAAACCAACTAAGGGAAGTCATTCCTCTTGAAACTCTCTTCATTGATTGATTTCGAGACTATCGAAAAAGGTTTGGGACCCTTGATTTTATCCCTTTTTAAAAATAAAATAAAAAAAACTATCATTAAAACGTCCACCAAAGAAATTATTAAAGAAACAAAAGAAACAGGGAAAGCCTCCCATAGCCAAAGAGGGGGAAAAAAGGAAATAAAAATCATTCACTTCATAATACATAGGACTTTCCTCATCTTTATTTTTCAGTGCTAACTTATAGCTAAAATTGCATTAGAGATGCAAAAGAGAAATTTAACATTAAATAATTTTTTTTGTACAACGAAGGTCAGAGTTTCTTGAGTGTAATGCAAGCATTAATAACTAAATCTATGATAATGAATTGGTACTGGTAATACAACAAACAACATAGAAAAATATAGGACATGGAAATCAGCTTGGAATCACAAGCATGCACATACCGTTCCATCTTTCAATAGAAAAAGAGACATGAGGTTTCCAACGAACTGCAAAATTCAATAAAAAAAATGAAGATTATTCCAGATGCACAACATCCATACAAAACAAATTGAATATATTCTTATTAGAACCAAAGATCATTAAAATTGTCATCAAAAACTAAAATGCAGCACCTGGTGGCCTGCAAACATTCCCCAAAATTCTCCATTGAAGTTACCAATCACGTTTCCTTCTTCTAAGTTTAAATCATGTGCATGACTGCGTGCTGTAGAAGTAAGATATGTACCCTGATGGACTATAATATTGTTAGGGAAAAAGTAATGTACTTATTACATCATCAAACACAACAAAGTGACGAACCAAATCTAAAAGATGGACTTGTACCTCCGCAACCCATTTTATTGAAGCAGAAAATCCGAGGTACAAGGAAGCTGGAACCATTGTGTACCTACCACAAGAACATTCATTTTTAAGTATATACAACTTCATCAATTTGATGAACATAATAGGGCTCTGTCAAATATGTGTCCACATCATTATTTAGTACAATACTGACAAGCATAAGAATGTTTTCTCGAGTCAGAGAGCAACCACTTTCTGCAAATAGCGGAAAGACAAGGTCTACATCTAGTCTTAACCTCCCAAGTCCCAAACCACATGGACTTTTAGTCTCATGAAATTCACTCAAACATTTTGGGAGCAACTCCCCTCAAGACTTCATCCTCTCAATATCTCTCAAGACTTCATTTTGTGGGCTCCATGTAACCAAGGAAGGTGATCCAAACCGCTCATCTTGTATGCCCAATAGAGTAGAACATATATGCAAAAAATTAACTTTATTGAATATCGATAAGCATACTAACTTATCAAATTTTGTCTTATAAGATCAATGGTTTTTATTAAGATTCATATGTACCACCCATTTCATAAAATGAAACACGATTAGTTTTTTTTTTATCGGCATGAAACATGATTAGTTGGTGTATCAATCAATGTCCGATCAAGCTAAATTTTTATAAATACATTCTTCTCTTTGAACTACGAGATGAACGGTTCAAATCACAAAACTATGGAGCCCACAAAATAGAGTCCTGAGGGAGTATGGAGAAGATGTAGTCTTGAGGGGAGCCTACTCCTCAACAATTTTGGCTATTTCATCACCTATCAGTGCAAAGGCAGAGTCACAGAAAACTTAAAAAAAATGTGTCAAAAAAAAAAAAAGAAAAAAAAAAGGCATAGGCAGTGGGCGGGCCCCATTGCCACGTCATTAGTGGTGCTATTAGAGCACCACTTTTAGTGGTCTCAATCATTTTTCATCCATACATTGACCTGTTTGGGTTTGGAGAAAAGAAAATAAATTAAATTATTGATTGTGTTTGGTGCAACTTTGAAAACTTAATTTCACCTCTCTATTTGTATGTATTATTTGGAAGGAGTTTTGAAATTTTGACTCCACAACACATTTCAAAACATATTTCTCTTTCCTATTTCGCTACTCTCATTCTCGTGTACTCTATTCTGAAAAGCAGAGGATTTTTGAATTTTGGATCTACTCGGTCATTCTCCCGGATGTTCGGCCGGTTAACTGGAACAATGTTAGTGTTTGTGTTTTTTTTTTTTAGCACCTATTATTATTATATTTTAAATAAAAAATATTTTGAATTTTTTTAAAATTTTTTTTTTATGAATTTTGAATAGAATTATGGATTGTGTGTTTGGTTACGAGTTGTAAATTTTTGAATCAAATATCATATGAAATATCACTCAATTCAAAACACTTTTCAAATTTCATAACCAAACAAATTTTCCACATTCAAATCATAATTCCAAAACTCACAAACTCAAAATACAGCTTTATTATCAAATCATAATTCTAAAACTCTACCAAACGCAACCATTGTATTTTTTATTATGATGTTTGGATGAGTAAAAAATTAATTAAGTAAAAAAAAGATACGAGTGAGATTTTTATTGTTATTGTATTTTACGAAATAATTTTGATATTATAAATATTTTACAATCAAGCAATTTGTTTATCACTAAATCTCATCAATTTTTGTGAGAAAATAAATAGTCTTAATAAGATATTTGGCTCCGTTTGATTTTAGAGTAATGATTTGAGTATGGAGTTGTCCTAAACACAAATTTCATATCTTGCAATTAAGACACAAAATAAATGCACAAATAATTAATTTTATTGATTATAAAAAATTGGTACAATCCTCTGTAAATTTGCTCTATTACAAAAGAATAGATCCTCTGATTCGATCTCCGAAATAGTTGAAATTCAACTATTGTAAAAGCTTTTTGTTGAACGAGACAAGTTGATGAATTTCTACAAGTCTTCGAATGGAGAAACACAGATAAAAGAGGCTTGATCGAGAGTTTGAACGGCATGATCTCGAACGAGTCTTGAAATGATCTCTTTGGAATGAGAGACCAAATTTGTATTTTTAACTTGAAAGGATTGGCACAAATTTGAAGAGCTTGATAATCCTCTAATTTTATGTTTGAAGAACTTTAGAAATAATTTTCAGAAATAATTTTTGATAGCGTCTCAAGATTGTTTGGAAGTTTGCAAGACCATTAGCCAAAAACAATCTATCCATATCCCCATAGTGAGAGCCTCTATTTATAGGCTTAGGAGAGAGAGGTTAATTTTGGGGAGACTTTCTAAAAAAATAATTTTTCAAGTGTTTGTATCTCATTTAATCCATAAGATATTATTATATTCCAATAAGTTCTATTATTTGAACATTTGATCTAACAAATCAAAATTCTCATATTTAAGGTATTTTATGAATATTTCTACCCTTACAAATATTTTTTGAACGGATAACAATTTGGGGATATGAACATTCATATTTTACAATGTGACTATTCACATTGATGTGTAAATGTTCACGTTGATAGTGTGAACATTCATATTGACAATATGAATATTCAAATTGACATGTTTAACATTCATATTGATGGTGTGAACATTTACATTGACAATGTGAACATTTACATTGATGTGTGAACAAACTCAAATTCTTTAAAATTGGGAAACCACCCCGATAATTTACTACTGATTACTCAAATCATGATCAAAATATGAATCACAGCCTAAATTGAACACCCAAATCTTTGTAATTACTATCAATATACCAGTTATTACTATCAAATTGAACCCTGCTAATGCTCCCTCCATGCAAAAGGAGGTAAGTTTGGTCACAAAAGGGTACATCAGTTATTACTATCAATATACCACTCCTTCCACAAGGGAATGATCAAACAGTACTAGTAGCATAGTCTCATGCTTGCCTTATTGACATAACAGAACCCACGAAAAGTGTTCGGGATACTATGCAACAAACCCGAGGATAGGTGAATGGAACCAGTTAATTTTGTTCAACACTTACAATTGGGACTCGAAGTCATCGTCATCACCCACTGGGTGATAGTTGCCCGACCAAGGGAATTCTGAGGAATTTAAAGGATTCCTACCAGAGTGATAAATCTAAACAATTGTCTTTCCGTTATTTATTGTTTCCCGAAATGTGCCCCAATTTATTTTCAAAAGTACGTCATCAAATTTCAACGTCTATTTTTTTCAAAATCCTCTTTCAAAATAAAGTGCCGTTTTTTTATTTATTTATTTAAAATTTCAATGTTCCCCCCATTCCTCTTTTTTTCTGAGAGTTCTGAGGAGTTCGGATTTTATTCCAAGGAATCAAGCAAACGATCACCCTTTAGCCAAATATCTCGTACAGGAACCAAAATTTTATTCGAAATTAGAGACTTGGTCATTACTTCCTTGTCCAACATTTCCCCATAAAATTAAGGTTCCCTCAAATTTAGTGGCGCAAAGGTTTTTACCTTATGAAAAGAACATTCCATAATTTCGGAACTCTATTCAAATTTTTTTTTTTCAAAAAATTTACAAGTAATTTTAGATCTTATTTAAAGAAATCAATCAAACAGTTACCGTACAGTCAAATGTCTTCTAAGCAAATTCAAAATTTCACTTCAAAGTGAAAGATTCGGTCATCACCTCCTCATCAATACTTTTCCATAAAATCAAATTCCCTCTAAAGTAAAAAACCTAAAGATTTCTGTCCAATAAAAAACTTTCCATATTTCTAAAATTCTACTTGGATTTTCCTTCACAATTCTTTCCTCCCAAGGAGCGCTCGATCTAATTCCAAGTATCTAATCAAACAATTGTCTCCTTAGTCAAATGTCTTTCCAGGGGATTTCGAATTTTATTCAAAATTGAAGATTTGGTCACCACTTCATCTCCCATTTATAGTAAAACTCGAAATTCCCCCTAAAGTCAATGACTTAAAGATTCTTATTCGATCAAACACCTTCCATAATCTCCGAGGCTCTACTTAGGCTGGAAAGTTACATTTTTTTTTAGAAGTTACTCTTTAATAACATGTTTTCAAGGGGATTTAAATTTTAAAAACGCAATCATTCCTTTCTTTTTCCTCTTCTTCTTTGATCACTAAGGTAACAACCCAAATTCAGACTCAAATTCTTTAAAATTTGGAAACCACCCCCCTAATTTACTACTGATTACTCAAATCATGATCCAAATAGGAATCACTGTCTAAATTGAACCCCCAAATCTTTGTAACTGCATCATTGCCCCCAAACAACTCAAATTGAAACAGAATCAAATCACTGCCACGTCAGACTCCCCAGATTTTGGGAATGAAATCACTGTCTTTCTCGTTGTTAGATCGCTGGAATCAAATCAAATCCTTTCAGAAATATCACACAAGCACATAATCTGCATTCGTGCCTATTTGGGGGGTACGGTTGCCCTGTCCTAATTTAGAAGTCGGACCTAGGATTTAGTAAATCATTCAAAGAGGCAATAATACAATCCTAGAAATGAGGTTATCCTGCCCTAGTTTGGAAGTTGCTAATGCTCTCTCCATGCAAAAGGAGGCAAGTTTGGTCACAAAAGGGCACGGCACATCAGTTGTTACTATCAATATACGACTCCTTCCACAGGGAATGATCAAACAGTACTAGTAGCATAGCCTCCTGCTTGCCTTATTGACATAACATAACCCA